CGTATTTCTAAATATGTGTACTTTTTTTCCTTCATTAGGATTTTTTTTCCCATAGGTTTTTTTCTAATAAGGTTTTAACGAGGCACATTATTTATGGACATTCAAGGGGGAGTGTTATGATAAAAATCAAAATATGGTGGATGTCTACTCTTCCTCCATGATCTTTCTCTCAAATGGTTAATGACATATTCAATGACATATTTTCTATGTTCAATGACATATTCCATGACATATTTTCTTCACTTTTCATGCCTATATAAAGGCCTTGTAATAGATAGGAAAATACACACAATTGAAGAAGAAAATCTCTTCCTTCTCTCTATCTCTATTCTTGTTCATGTTTTACTAAGTTGCTTTTATTTCTTGCTCATGCTTTACTAAATTGCTTTTATTTCATAACAGACACCATTTTAGAGAATACAACGTTCTCTGTACCTTTATTTGTACTATATAAATTGGTGGTCTAGTTTAATACTCCTCATGTCTCAATTTATATGGCAGGTGTTCAAGAGTCAAACAAGTTTTGCTTTAACCATGAAGCTTTTATATGCCTTTTTAATATTTGAATTGAATATTATTGTGATTTATAGTACATTTTATGTAGTTTCCAAATATGTAAATTTTTATTTAAAAAAATTTAAAGATTCTATTTTCGAATTTAAGGTCAAATTAAAAATTTTAACTTTCGAAATTCAAAATGTGCCACATATATTGAAAATAGAGGGAGTGTCTCTTCACATGCTCCAATGTTTTTTCTTTAATTAAATATTAAATTACCTACATAAAATGAGGATTACTTACAATTCAACCCCCTATTTTAATTTATTTGTCAACAAATTAAAGATTGCTTAAGGGATGAATTCACGAACGCATGCAGAAGTTAAATATACCACTTCACAAAAACTATACATGCAGATCCACAGATATACACAGTTATTTTCAATGAATGATACGCTGAGTTTTTCTCAATATCTTGCTCAATTAACAACCCAAAAATCATACAAATACGATGTCCGGCCGACAACTCGTCTAACTTTCAAGCTTAATTAAAAGGATAAATATAATACATAGAAATCTCAACAAGGACTATCAGATAATTAAATATTTCGTAGTTTAATTTGCAAATTTCGAAGTACAAAATAGTGTAGTAGTGAAAAAAAAATGGAACAAATTCATACTGATAGCATAATAACACTATATATATAACATTAAAAGCCGTGAAAATATTAATAACCAGGACTATTGACACTGGCACAACTGAGTCGGACTTCACCATCAACGCTAAGATAATCTTGAATATTTCCAAGCTTGACCATAGATGCTGCAAACAGGTTTTCAAATACGTCTGATTGAGTAGCCAAAGCTGTGACAATAGGTGCAGTTCTTGGATCTGAGTAGAGCAATTGGTCTGTCAACAAAAGTCCCATTCCCTTTTGCAGATTCTTGTAGTACTGAACATCAAATTTCTTGGGAGTAACAGCATCAAGGTCAACATATTCAGATGCCCATCTGCACTTCCTCTCCAAATAGTTTAAGTAGAGATGATCCAGCCTTGAATCTGATTTCCTAGTTCCATTGTAATTGTATAATCGGTATTGCATAGATTCACATGTGGTTCTTCCAATTGTGTGTGCTCCTACATATATAACATAAATAATTAAACCAACATTAATATAATATTCAACTGTAATTCTTAATTTGAGTTATAGCTTTTTGCTACTTAATTTGGTGTGCGTAGTGATCTGGTCCAGGGATATACCCGATCGATCATTAGACCAAAAATAGCTATATAGATAAGGATTACCCTTCCCGCCCGAGTTTATTAGGAAGTATTTGACTGAATATGAAGTTTAAGAAATTAAAGAAAATTTTTGATATGAAAGCCAAATCTACGTAAGTGTCAAAATTAACCAATTAAAAAAATGTCTGAGAATTTCACGTCTTTTCAATTTTTTTAATCATTAGAAAAAATAAACGTTTATATCTAGTGAGTCCCAACAAATCATGTTAGTAAATGAAAATATGGATGTTAAGTTACGTAGTTTTCATATATAATTAAGAGAATGTGCCATTCTTTTCGGATCATACTAAAACAAAAAATGTGTAATATAAAATAGAAGGTGGCTAGTTGGACTCACCAGAGAGGACAACCAAGTCGAGAACATTCAAGCCCTTGGACTGGAAGAGTTCAAGCAAATCAGTGACTACTTCGTGACCCGTAGGGACCAATTGATCAGCTTCCTTAGCATATGAAACTGTACCATCTTTCCTACCATATGGAACCATCCAAAATGGACCACCTACAGCAAGTGTGGCGTCTCGAGCAGCTACGGTTAAAATATCAGCACAAGACACTGTCCTTGGGCACACTCTCTCCACTTCTCTTTTGATATCCTCTATTACCTCAAATCCCCTTAATGTCTTGCTTGCTTTTGCACTCTTCTCACTTCCTTCGTGGTCTAATAGTATTGAAGCATCACATCCCTACCATCCACACAATACAAAACTTAATTATATGACGGTGTTTGATTGGGGACGAAGTTTAAGAATAAAAGAAAGAATTCTAAAATTAACATGCTATTTTAAACATCCTATAACATTTTTGTGGCTATATATAAACCCATAATTAAAAGTAAAATAAGAATTTAAGGTTAAAATAAAAACGAATATGCTTACTAACCCTAACAACGCAGTCGTGGAAATGTAACCTCATGAGGGCAGGAGCCAGGGTATAATCTTTTTTAACCCATTCCTCCATTTTGTTGTGGACAATTTCCTCAAGCTTGGGACAGCTAAGGCTATAGTAATCGAAAGGAAGGTTGATGTCGTCAAATGGAAAAGCAGAAACGACGGCCACAAGAAAGAAGGCCGTGAGGGAAAGCAAAGTTGCGGTACTTGAAAAACTCTTCATTCTTCGAAATTTGAGGAAGAGGGGCTTCAATTGAAATAATGAAGTGGAATAATTGCTTGATTTGTTAATGTATACCTATCTATATATATAATTTTTGAAAGTAGCCAATGAAAATGATCATCGCTTTGAGTTGTAGGTAGTAGCATACGTGAGAAGCACCTCCTTTGGGTTCAGAAACTCGAGACGTGCGAGCATGTACAATTTGTGTTGACAATAAACTAAAAATTTAATAATATTAGGATTTGCGGTGGAGATATATATTATAGAAAAAGAAAATGTCCGAGTTGACTATAAACATATACAAAAAGAAGTGCATGCATTACAGACTTATCTAGTACATCGCCATTATTTGGCGTAATATTTTTGTGAAAACTATTTTACACCCAAATGTTTTATACAAGAAAGTTATTGTTTAAAATTATATTTTGTGTTTATTTTTTTATTTTTTTTTGGTATTTAGTTGGTAATACACAGTTGTTGAGCGTAATAGTGGTGGGAAGTGAGTATTGAGCCTTGTCTTGTGTTGTTTTATGCAGAAGTAGTGTTTTTGTTTGTATGTTGATAAAAAGCAAGTAACAAGAATATTTTCAACACTTTGGTAATTAATCCCCGAAAATAATTTCGAAAAGAATATATTTTAAAAGATATTTACTTCAAAACTGATCAATATTAAACTTCAAAAAATATCAAATTTATCATTTTGTTATTTTTAAAATATTCAAATTATTCATTGATTATACTTTTGGGGTCATTTATACTCTTATCGCGGTCAATCTTGTATTTGTCCTTGATTTAAATAGAGCTCTAGCATGAACCGGGGTAATTCGGCTGAATGTAAAAATATTCGAGAAAAAATGGTCTAAATTTGTCTCTTCACTTTTGGCTTTGGTTAAAATTACCCTTTGTAAGAGTTAAAGAGTAAATGCAAGACAAATTGTTAACCGAATGGTTTTAATTAGTTACTCCATAGTCCATAGTATAACGCATGCTAATATTAAAATATTTCGTATAATAAATTGATTTTTTTAAACCCTTTTCCCTTCATTTAATGGTGGAACTATCAGTGAGGAACTGAGGACTTTTACTCTTGAACATCTGCTTTTTACTCCATCAATTTCCCTGCTCAAGTTTTGAGATAATTTCTATAATTTTTGTCTTATCATTTAAAGCTCAAATCAAATGTGAGGGCACGTTAACATTGATTTTTCATGTTACGTGGTTTAAATTGTCTTAGAAAGTGTATGTTTTCGGGGAAGACACGGCATTAATTAGGGGTGTACATGGACCGGATTGGTTCGGTTTTTATCAAAATCAAACCAAATCGACTATATCGATTTGTATTGGTTCGATTTTGTCGGGTTTTTCGGATTTTCGGGTCTTTTTGTTACATGAATAATATTTCAGTCTTACTTTGTTAAAATTATAGATAAAGCTTCGATAAGTGAATATATGCTTAGTAAATATGGAAAAAATTGACAAACATATGATCTATTAAAATAATACATGAGAGGATCCCAAATATTTCAACATTTTCTAAAGAAATTTCACTATAAAGTATTAAAAATATAAATAAAATTTCTATATTTATATGTCGGTTTGGTTCAGGTTTTTTTACTCAATACCAAACCAAACCTAGTCGGGTTTTTTAATCGATTTGGTTTGGCTTTTCGGTTTAGTGCGGTTTTCCGGTTCGATTTGAACACCCCTGACATCAATTATATGTAATAGGACCAAACCTATTGTTGTATGTGAAAGCAGATAAAACAAAAGAAAGAAAAATAAAAAAAAAGATGAAAATATGATGTAAGCGCTTACATCGACATTCTTATGATGTAAGCGCTTACCTCAGCATTCTTATGATGTAAGCGCTTACATCGACATTCTTATGATGTAAGCGCTTACCTCAGCATTCTTATGATGTAAGCGCTTACATCGGTATTCTTATGATGTAAGCGCTTACCTCGGCAGGACATTAAAATGCCTATAAATAGGGGTCTACATTTTCATTTGTAGAACATCCCAAAACTTTTCTTTCTCTCTTCAATTAATAAAGAGCTATTCTTTGTGTGGCCGTGGAGTAGGCAAAAATTGCCGAACCACGTAAATCTTGTCCTGTCTTGTCTTGTGCAATTTATTGTTTCTCTCCTAAATATCCTTTTCCTTCTATTATCTTGACACGCTTCCTCAACAACTGGTATCAGAGCACAGACAGTGTAATTCTGGTAGAAAAGTACAATATTGGTGCATGTACTATTCACAAGAATAGTGCGATACTATTGATCATCGTTACTATTCACAAGCACTATTCACATAAATTATTTTTGTGAAAAATGGCATCGGAAGAAGAAGGTTAAGATTGACAAGTTCAATGGCAAAGATTTTGGATTCTAGAAAATGCAAATAGAGGATTATTTGTACCAAAAAAATTTACACTTACCTCTGACCGAGGTGAAACCGGAGACTATGTCCAAAGTGGATAGGGATCTATTAGATCGCCAAGCTCTTGGTGTGATTCGTTTGACGCTAACACGAAATGTGGCGTTTAACATCATTAACGAGAAGACCACTGCAGGCCTGATGAAGGCGTTATCAAATATGTACGAGAAGTCATCTGCTTCAAATAAAGTCTATTTGATGCGTCGATTGTTCAACTTAAAAATGACAGAAGGTGGATCAGTCACGGAGCATTTCAATGAGTTTAATATAATATTAACTCAGTTGAGTTCTGTTAATATAACAATTTATGACGAAATCAGGGCTTGATTCTACTATCATCTCTACCGGAGAGTTGGTCTGCAACAGTAACTGCAGTTAGCAGTTCATCAGGAAGTACCAAACTCAAATTGAGTGATATTAGAGGCTTGGTTCTAAGCGAAGATATTCGCCGAAGAGAATCAAGTGGTTCCCCAAGATCTGCTTTTAGTACCGAAAGCAGGGGGAGAATCAACCAAAGAGGATAGAGTTATGGTCGTGGAAGATCAAAGTCAAGGAGAATTGCAAGGACATTACTTGTTGGAATTGCGATAAAAAGGGTCACTACAGTAGTCAATGTAGATAACCAAAGAAGAAGAAGGAAGAAAATTCAGCAAAGTAATTGTTGAACAAGTCGGTGATGCACTAATTTGTTGTGCAGATTGTCCAGTTGAATCTTGGATTCTGGACTCAGTTGCATCCTTTCACTCTACATTATGCAAAGAATTATTGCATAATTATATTGCTGGAAAATTTAGGAAAGTTTATCTAGCAGACGGCGAACCTCTTGACATTGCCGGAAAAGGTGAAGTTCATATAAAGACTTCACAAGGCACGCTATGGAAATTACAAAATGTACGACATGTTCCTGGCCTCAAGAAAAATCTGATATCTATGGGTCAGATTGACGATGAAGGATATACAACAACATTCGGCAACGGATCGTGGAAGATAACCAAAGGGAATTTGGTTGTGGCACGAGGCTTCAAAAGGGGAACACTATATGCAACTGCAATAGAAAGAGATACTATAGCAATAGTTGATTATGGTCGTGATACAACATTGTGGCACCGGAGGCTCGGGCATATGAGTGAGAAGGGAATGAAGCTTTTGGCATCCAAAAAGAAGTTGTCAAACCTAAAACATGTTGAATTAGGTTTGTGCGAAGATTGCATTTACGGGAAACAAAAGAGTGTTAGTTTCTCAAAGGTGGGAAGGACGCCAAAGAAAGAGAAGCTGGAACTAATACATACAGATGTGTGGGGACCAGCTCCTGTAACTTCTCTAGGAGGCTCACGCTATTATGTCACCTTCATTGATGATTCCACAAGAAATGTATGGGTTTATTTTATGAAAATAAATCTGATGTGTTTGTTACCTTTAAAAGATGGAAAGCTGAAGTTGAAAATCAGACAAGTCTAAAGTTAAAATGTCTGAAGTCTGACAATGGAGGAGAGTATGATAGCCAAGAGTTCAAAGCATTTTGTTTGGAGAATGGGATCAGAATGATCAAGACAGTTCTTGGAACACCAGAACAAAATGGTGTTGCTGAGAGGATGAACAGAACCCTGAATGAACGAGCTAGAAGTATGAGAATACATTCTGGATTGCCGAAGTATTTTTGGGCTGAGGCTGTTAACACGGCAGCTTACCTCATAAATAGGGGACCCTCTGTACCGCTGAATTTTGAAATTCCTGAGGAGGTATGGACAGGAAAGGAGGTAACTCTCTCACATCTGAAATTTTTTGGTTGTGTTGCTTATGTGCATGTAAACTCCAATGATAGAGATAAGCTTGATCCTAAAGCAAAAAAATGTTTCTTTATTGGCTATGGTGATGATAATTTTGGTTATCGGTTTTGGGATGATCAGAATAGAAAGATCCTAAGACACAGGAGTGTCACATTTAATGAAAATGTAATGTACAAGGACAAGCTTGAAGTAGAACCAACCAACACCAGCAAACAGACAATGTCTAAAACAGTTGAGTTAGAAAAAATCTCAGAAAATGAAGTGGCTAGAGGGATTACAACTGATTCTGAAATTGAAGATGAAGAAC